GGACCACGGCCGTGCCGAGTCCCGCAGGCGCGGCGCTCGACATCGTGCCGGTGCCAGAGCCCGTCGCAGTCGTGCCTGTCGCCGCCGCCGCCGTCCCGCCAGCCGCCGCACCTGCGCCTGTATCGCCTGTCATGCCGCCAGTCGCCTCGCCGGTCGTCGCGCCTGCCGCGCCCGCGCCGGAACCTGCCGCTCCCGCCGCCGTGCCCGCAGCAGCCGTGCCCGCAGCAGCCGTGCCCGCAGCAGCCGTGCCCGCAGCAGCCGTGCCCGCAGCAGCCGCGCCGGAACCTGCCGCGCAACCCCCTGCCGCGCCCGCACCTGGCGCCGCCGCCGCCTCCGCGCCGGCTCCGCCACGCCACGTGCTTCTCGTCGAGGACAACCTGATCGTGCAGCGCACGACCGCGCGCATGATCGCGATGGGCGGCCACCGCGTGACGACCGCCGGGAACGGCCAGATTGCCGTGAACCTGATGGCCGATACGGCGGCGCGCGCGACGGACCCCGTGGACTTCATTTTCATGGATCTGCAAATGCCCGTCATGGACGGGACCGAGGCCGCGGCGATCATTGCGACCCAGTTGGCGCCGGACGTGCCGATTGTCGCGTTCACGGCAAATGCGACTGAGGACGAGCGCGTGGCGACGATGGCAACGGGCCATTTCCGTGCGTGTCTGTTCAAGCCGGCCAAGCGCGACAGTTTGCTGGAGACGGTCGCGCAGTGGACGGCATCGAGTGCGTGAGAATGGCGGATCGTTTGGGGCGGGCGACCAATGGGGGGGGGGGGGGGTCGCAACGCATTTTGTTGGTTGGCTTGGCTTGGCTTGCTTGAGTTGGTTGTTGGTTGGTTGGTTGGTTGTGGCTGTCATCATTCTTGAACACTGGGAGAGACACAGTCGGCAAGAATACCCGAATCCATTTCACCCATTTTGCTGTCTTGCATCGGTTGCTGGGTGGAGAGGCGTTCGTGTCGGCTCGTGTCAGGGTGGACATGGTTCATCGCATGTTACCGTGCAGCTTGCAGATGGGGATCGGGTCGGCCAGCCTGGAGCGTGACGATCGTGTCGACCTCGCTGCCGTGTCGGCCTTGCTGCCGTGTCGGCCCTCACGGCGTCATGGCAGTGGACCACGCCCATCGCTGCAGGCACCCGATGCGCGAGATGAGGGCAAGCGCACGACCAGATCGCCGTCGTGACGCGGTCACGTTTGACTTGCATCTACCGTGAAATCCCAGCAATGAGATCGAGAACGCGACGGGCAAGCAAGCAGCGTGACAAGCAACAACCGATGCATTTCGTTCGCCGACGTGCTCGTCTCCTTAGCAATCTTGCAAACGGCTACAACCAATCAACTGACCCAGCTAGCCGCTCTTCCCGGCACCATTTTGCTCGCGCCACGCGCCCCACCACGCAATGACCTTCGGGTCCGTGAGCCGTCCGACCCACGCGTCAAAGTCGCGCGGTACTTTCAACTGCAACCCTGACCTGGCCCACCAGTCCAGCACATTCAGATGCCCGGCCTCCGACGCGGCCGCAAGCGCCCTGGTCGAATACGTGACTTGCATCCCGGACCGTTTCCACCACTCCAAGACCTCCACAAACCCGCCAGCACTTGGCGCGTCCAATCCACCCATGTGCTCCTGTGGCATCCCCACATACTCTTGCCGCGCTGCATACTCGAGAATCCGCACATGCCCCATCCGCGTCGCCACATCGAGTCCGTACCCCAACACCACGTCGTCGATAAAATCCGGCACAAGCAGACCCGACGCGAGCCACCAGTCCAGCGCAGCGGGGTCCCCCGTAACGCACGAACACGCGGCCTCGACCAGGTTCCATGACACGGGCAGCGGGTCCAGCACGCGTGCGCGCCACCAGTTGAGGACGGGTATGTGCCCGCCGCGCGTCGCGCAGTAGAGCGCGCCACGCACGTCGGTCAATGGGAGTTTGAGTTTCTCGCGCATGTCGAGCAGATCGATTCGGCCGCGGTACGACGCGAGGACGGACGTGCAGTGCGGGAACCGGAGAAAGGCGGCGCGGGTCACGCGCGGGGACCATTTGGCGGGTAAGACGTGGAGAAGCTGGCGCAGTTGGTTGATGCCGGTGGGCGTTACAGGCCAGGTCGGGAGCGGCCATTGGAATCGCATGCCGAGTGGCGCAAGCGGGGTGGACGTGGTGCTGATGGCGTGGACGAGGATCTGCTCGATGATTTCGACGGGGAAGTCGGCCATGGGGGGCGGTGGCGCACTGGCGCGTTCGACGACGGGTTCGAGCGGGTCGGCGTCGTTGTCAGCGAGGGCGACGGTTGGCAAACCATTCTGGTCGTGGTGAAGATCCGGGTTGTCGGTTGGATCGCGGCCGTGGTCGTTGCTGGAGGACATTGCAAGAAGCGACGCGCCGCTGTCACGCGAGGGCAGGGGCGATCCTGGTGTGTCGACGGGGAGGGTGGGCAAGGCAAAAGGAGCGCCGGAGATCAAGTACGCGATCCGTTTGTCCATGTTGCGCAGCGATCGTCCATGGAGGCAAACGTCGGTACAACGCCATCACCGCTCAACCAAAATAGAGGCTCAATAAAAAATCATGAACAAATGACTGGCGGTCAAATACAGAGCGCAGCCCGGATTGGGATTCGACGCGCAGAGTGGGCCTTGCACGTGTTGGTGGAGCCCAAGCGAAATGTTGGAACAAAGGTTGGACAAGTGACAATGATGGCAACGGATGGCCATGGCAGAACGTGACATGGAGAATAAAGTGATTGAACAGGACGCCTGCATTGCGCGTCACGCTCATGACTATGTGCTTTCAGTCAACCAAACCAACAACATCGCCCTTGTTCGCTGCCCGTGACCACATACCTATCGTATTGGAGACTATCATTGGGGCCAGCATGGCAACATTCTTTCACTTGCTCTCTTTTCCCGACAAAACTACCCAACACGATCTGTGGGACTACCCCCCAATCAGCATTGCCTTCATCTGCTCCAAACCCTCACCAAAGTATCCTCGTCCCCAATTACATGCATGATCCACGGCATGACGCTTGGTGAGCATGCATGTACTGGACAAGGCGCGTGCATAACCAAGCGCATACTCTCAGCTCCATCATTGTGGCAGTGCTATGGTTCAAAATCACAAATGGCTCATCTACGTGCAGCGCCATGCTTCAGAGTTCATCTCGACAACGTAATGGAGGCATGAAGAGCGTTGAACGGCCACGCCAGGCGGTGGAGATGGGAGGTGATGGCAGCAGGTATGATTGACCATACTTGCATGCTTTCAGGAATCCCATTCAAGAGAATGCTTGGTGTTGATGCAGTCATGTTCCACTTGCAACTGGCACAACCTGGTAGGACGATACTGGCGGTGAAAGGAGGCCTCTCAAAACGAATCAATCGAATACAAACCTATCCGCATCAATGGGGTCAAACCAGCGATCAAGTTGGGTGCTTGTGTGGATACGTCCTGCAGTGACAGAATGGACGAATGTGTTTCTCCATTCGAAAAATGATTCCATGACAGTCCTGCGACCTTCTCCACCCAAATCTTTGTTTGCCTGACAACCACCAGGGGTGTTCGTGGTGGCAGCAACATTGCAGTGCTCTCTCTGGCTTTTGCATTGCAGCCCGCACTGCATGGCTGGTCACTCACAAAACTGGAGCATGCATGCGCTGGTCGTCCCACTGCCGCCATTGCAACAAAGGATGATCTGCATGAACTCAAGATCACGGAATTTCGAACAATCGAGCGTCACGAAGTTGTTAGTGCATGTGTTGGTTGTTGGGCGCTAACAAAGGGTCGTGCTCATCCTGCACAGTGCACACAACTGCAAGTGAGAATGAGGAAAACATGTGACGAAGAGAGCGAAGACACTGCACGAGTCGCCCCTGGCGCAGGGCATCGCTAAGTTGGTGCACTGATGAAGGTACCAACTCCAGATTTGGCCCCCCGTTTCTAGCTCATTCACTGTAAGTCAATGGGCGCTACCCATTCAAACTCCAAACTCCCGCCCATGCTCCACTCTCCTCGTCAGAATGAAGGGTGCGAAATGTGCTATCTAGTGGTGGTCATTGCATCAATTAACATCTCCCATAATCACATGCATTGATTGGTTGAGGTTTGAGGCAAAGACAATCAATGATAGCTGATCATGGTCAGTCGCATAAAGCATTTAGAGTACACCATGTTGCGTGTCAAGTTCTGTTTTGCGAGATTTGGGGACTGACCAGAGCAGATTTCTGCACACAGGGTATTTACTGCCTGGCTGTGTAGGATAGAGTGCCCATGCTTCAGTGAATCCGTAAGATGCAGAAATCGTACTGGAGCACTGTGTGGCAAGCTGCCTGTTGCCCATGATCGCCCCAAGCCCATCCCACTTCAAGTTGAACAGCCACCATGCCACCTTTTAGCAAGAGCACAGGGCAAGCACGTGTGATCTAGGGATCACACAAGAGCCTGGGCAAACAAGCAGTTAACCTCGCGTGAGTAAAGCAGCGGCCATATTGTCATCGTGGCACTACTTGTCACATAAAAGCTTGTGTGGAGATGTGGGTAGTTGTAAACTGGCTGGCATGCTAAGTGAAAATTGCTGCAAGCAAAAGCATGAAAAAGACCTTTCCCACGCGCTGCCCAACCCCATGGGGGCGAGCAGGAGGTCTGTGGCCTGTGATGTGGTGGCCCGCATGCATAATGCAATGGTGGCAGCTGTGGTCACAGCCATGCATTAAGTGCAACGTGCCAATGAGTTGTTGGGCTGGTGAGAATGCCAGTTGGCAGCCCATAGCAGCAAGATTTGAGGCGATGCATGACAGTGCGGGTTTAGGTGGTGATGGCAGTTCAGGTTCGGGATGATGGCTGCGTTCGTTTGGGGGTCGTTGCAGCGACACAGCGCCCCTCTACGTTTCCCTCAAGCCTGGTGCATTGACCACTAGCTTATAAGCCATGAGCAACTTCTGAATTCGGCGGGGCGACAAAACCCGCAAACCCTAATCGGTAACCTAAGCGGATTCTAGCGTCTTGGCGCAGAGGAAGCGCGCAGGGCTCATAACCCTGAGGTCGTAGGATCGAAACCTACAGACGCTAATTACTGTCCTGGTGCGCCAGGGGTCAAAACTTATGATTTTTTTCCCATTTTTCCCTTTCTTCTGCTTCTGCTTCTGCTTCTTTGCTTCGCCTCACCTCCTCTCACACTCGTGCAAATGCCATTAATGTGTTCAGCCTGTAAACGTGGAAGGCGCTCTTTCTTGATTCAAGATTAACCTATTGACTGCAGGAAAATGGAGAGACCACCAGCAGCCACTCACCCACCCACCCAAACCCGCCCTTCTCAAAATATATTTCAGGGTACATCAAATGGATACTACTTGCAAAGTGTGGGAGCTCAAGAACGACAGTCAGGCGAGCAGCAGGGTGTTAAATTTGGGCCAAATATGCTTGGCCAAGGCTGGTCTGGGTGTGGCATGGGCAGGCAACAAAATTGGAAGAACCCTTGGGAGGCAGTCGCAAACAAACCAGGACAAATCTGCAAAAGGTTATGGCGCGAAAAGAGAAGACATCGTGGGCTTGTAATCGACCTGACTGGTGCTAGTCTCTGCATGCTAGGCTCCTTGTGGCCGCTGCCAAATGGCGTGACAAGCCGACACGAGGTGTGAATTCAGCAAAAGCATTAGAACAAAGTAATTCCCCCGTCGGAATTATCAATTGGAGATCAGTTCAGGTCAGCGCTCAAACTTTGCGAGCACCAAGTCCAACCGTCCAGTCCACCCTCGACGATCAGTATACTCAACTTGCGCTTGGCGCAACGGCTCAAACCGCAGCCACGGACGGCACGGGTAATGCCGCATCCGCATCAATCATGAGCTGGTCAAGCATGGCTCCGACATTGGACACGACTGCAGTGTCGCGACCTGACGAGAGCGGTGGTTCCTCAACATCGACACCGTCATCGGGCTCGTCCCACGCACGCTGCACCATCGAGTGCGCAAGCTGAACGAGTCGCACGGTGGAGAGCAATCTAATCGCCGAGCGCGACCCGGGTCAGACATTGCATTGAGCTGGCGACCATAGGCAAGACAGAGACGATTCGTACGTGCGCCGGTAATACCCAACAACTTCGTCAGCGTGCGCTGGCTCGAACACGCGCCACCGTTGCGGTTCCGGCGTACTACCGGCCACGACCGTGTGGTACGCGGCGAGACGCCCGAGTTGGTCGTCGAGTGCGCGAGCCAGATCTGCCGGATGAGTAGGGAGGGTTGGCGGGGTCGGGATCAGCGCGGACGGAACAGCGGCAGGCGTCGTCGGCACCGGCGCGGCCGCATTCTTGGTCGGCGGCGCCTTGGACCCGATGCCCGCCGGAGTCGAGGTGCCCGGTGCCGCGGCTCCCGCAGCTGCAGGCTTTGGTTTTTTGGTTGCGTCGACGACGCTTGAAACCGACGATTTCGGATCGGGTGGTGGGGCCTGCGACGTGTCGACAATGGTGGGGCGGGACGGGACTGGATCGCGAGAAGAGCAAGGACACATCAGGGACGTCAAAAACGCGATGCACATTGGCGTTGCGCACCCGTCGACAGGAGCCGCGTATACAGGACGTGGCCGATGGCGAGCGCAACGTTGCACTGGTCCGGGGAGAACGAGCACTCGCGGAACCATCTGAAGCAAAGAATGGGGAATACGTGGTCAGGAGAGCGTGGGCATAGCTCGCACACTCAAGCGGGCGAAACATACTGGTAGTTGCCGTGATGAAACTGGACCAAGTGCAGCTGGCGCAGGTCGACGGGCGTGGGCGTGACAAACAGCGTATCGGAGCTTGTCGTTGGCAGCAAGGTCCCGGCGTCTCCGTGCGGCCAACAGAGCTGCACTTTGCTAATCCATTTCCTACACATACACGGATGCACGCGATGGGATCAGAAATGAGCAAAACCAGTGGAGAGCGAAGCGGTTCCGTGCATACGCTTCAAGATCATGCTCCTTGGGAGAGTGCATGCCGTGCACGGCTTCGATGAGCGTGGTCGGTGCTACGTGAGCCAGTCGAGGTACCAATCGCTGAGCGCCACGCTGTGCCGCATGGCTGCCCTTGCTGCTCGCCGCTGCGGGTGGGAAGGATGGAGGACAGGAAAGAGGGCCCGCTGCACTGGTTTGTTCAGAAGTAGCCGCCGTTGCTTGAGCGGGCAACCACGGCATCGTCGCCGAAATGTCGGCGAGAAAGTCGTTGGTGACAAAGGTATCGAGCAGCGCAACTGCGTCGTACTCGTGACCGTCGTAAGACTATCACATGGGGAGGAGGGTCGATCTGGTCAGCGCTGATTGTAGGTGCGCGGCGCTGTCGTCCAAAAATACCGAAGTTGCTGCTGCACCAGAAGCAGCAGGGGCAGGCCCGGTGCCCGTTGCGCTTGCGGAACTGCCCGACTTGGATGCATTCGAGACGCCGCTGTTGCCAGAACCGTTGAGGTTGGCGGCGCCTGTGCTGGGCTTGCCCGAGGCCGCAGCGACAGATGCATGGCGCGCCGAAGCTGGGCGCGCTGACGTTGGGCGGCCAGCTGAGCCAGACCGGCCGCCGGATGCTGGCTTCATTGCGGATAGTGCGGCCGATTTGCGGAGTGGAACGCCGGCGTTGGTGCTGGGCCGGCCGCTTTGTCTCGAATCCAGACCCCTGCCATTCGGTCCACAGCACGTGCCACTGACACACATCGGCGTGCACCACAGGTGACACTGTGCAGCGCTTGGAAAGGGCCTGGCCGCGAATCCGGCCACAACGTTGCGATTTTTGCGCCGTGGTCTCCAACACACGCTGCCCAGCATCTTGGAACCATCATTATCACCATCAACTCCACCCCCACCCCTGCACCACCCGCCAAATATGCGCGGAACCATGCACAACATTGTCCTCAACCCGGATCCGCCGCTCGCCGCGCGCAACTCCGGCCGTACCGCACCTTCAACCGCGTAGCGATTTGGTGACGCTCGACGACCAAACGTGCTCTGCTCGACGATCGAGCACGCCCCGACCGCACGTCAACGTCTCGGAAAGAGCCTCTGCACGCCATCGTCAACGTTGGAGGCCGCACCCAGCCCCGCACTTGCCAGTTTGACAGCGCGGCAGCACCGTGTCGTGGTCTCGGAGCGATGGCCCCGACAAAACCAACGACAATTCATGCTCCCTCGTACCGCAACCCGGCAGCCGCACGACGTCGATGCACCGCATCGTTAGCCATTTGCTCCCGCTGCCGTGATCCGTTCGCCGACGCCGCCGCCCCACGGTCGACTCCAAGCGAACCCGCGACGTGCTTGTGTCGCTGTTACAATTCCTATCCCCCCTCCCACGACATCCAAACGGCCAACGCAACGAGTGCACAACGGCGGGATCGCTGCGCCCGAGCTCGGCGGCGTGCGGTTCCCGACATCGTCCCTGCACGCGCACTCGTGTGGTGTGTGAAGTGCGATGCGCAAGGAACGGGAGCCGTGCGCGAGGAGTACTGCACGAGGAGCGGAAGCGGAACCCGCGCGCTCTCGGCAACATTGGCCGACAGCTGTAGCGATCCTGCACCCGTCCGACCTTACTTCCCGTTGGCACCATTCCCCTGTCGTGCCCCTCCCCCCCCCCCCCCTTCAGCGAAAACAAAAACCGGAAACGCACCACGTTTCCCAATCGGCGACTGCAGCTGGCCAAGCAATGACGATTCGGAAGTGGACCGGTAATGCGCATCGACTACATCAGCATGCCCCGGATCAAATACGCACCACCGTAGCGGGTTCGAGCGTGCGACCGGGCGCGACCATGTGGTAGGTGACAAGTTGGTCGAGTTGATCGTCTAGTGCGCGCGCCAGGTCGATCGGGTGGGCGCGGTGCGTCGGCGGGCCAGACGTCGTCAGCACCGCGGCGACAATCTTGGTCGACGGGGCGTTGGGTCCGGGTCCCGCGGGAGTCGGGGTAGGTGCTTGGCGCCGCTGTTGCACCCTTTAGCGTCTTGGTCAAGTCAAGGACGACTCTCGGAACCGAGGATATCGAGTTGAGAGTGGGGCCTCTGGCGCTTCGATGACGATGGTGTAGTGGGGCCGGACGGGGATGGATCGCGTGAAGCGGTCGCCGACGGGTTGCGGAGCGTGCGTGTCACGACAGCGGGGAGAGAAACTCGTTGCGCGAGGGCCCTCGTCGCGCGAGCAGGGTGTCACAAGCCGCGGTTCTGCGCAGACCGCATGCGGAGACGGCTCGCGCGGTGGTCGGCATCAATTTCAAGGCTGGCACCGAGCGACGGACCGCAGCCCCGCCCAACGTCGTCGCTCACGTCCAGGTCTTGGCGGATAGATGCAGAGGGTTTGTACGGACTCGCAATTTGTCGGCATTGAGACCCTAGCCCAGTCGCGTTCATGCGGCGGCTACGAGAGCGCCGTGACTGCGGGGAGTGGTGCTGCCGATGCCGGCCGGGTGGAAAATTGGTTGGGCATCGCGGTCGACGCGGTGCCGGCGTTTGAATGGATAGTTGCAAGTTGTCGACGACGCGATGTGACGGGGTTGCGCTGTTGTGCGGAAGGACATGATGTATTTGTCTATTTTGCCCTGACACTGCACCGCCAGCACCACAGTTTGGTCGCCGGTGCACCACCGCTTGTCGAACAGTGATTTCGCGCGCCGGGCCAACACGACCTCATAATTATTTACACGCTCTCACGTTTCCACCCTCGCGGTTCGCGCGCAATACCGACCTGTGCAATGCTGTTGGCAACTTGTTCTGAACCCGCCGGCCTCTCCGCCTGCCGCAAGGCGCGATTGACCAACGTTCATTTGGTCGCTCAGGGGACGCCAGATCTCGTGCTCACACACGACATGCACTCGACGGCGCCTTGGCGCAGGTCCTGCATACGGCGAGTGCGCAGTGTAAGAAACCAGCCGCCCACGGCATGGACTAAATCCCCTGCATTGCATCGCCTCTCTACCTTCACTACAACGACTCCAACAGCGCTGCCTTGCGCCAGGCGCAGCAACATCATTCGTGGCCGCGCCTCACGATGCTCCTCTGCTCGTACGATGCAAAATTCGCGATGCACGTCACTATTGAACTCGACTTTGTTGGCAATCTTAGTCGTCG